ATTCAATATTTACTTATAATTCTTCTCTTCTGTTGCCTTTCAATTTAAATTCCTATTCATCATGTTATTTATGTTGTTTGACTGTTTGTTTCTGACCTTTTTTCCTTTGTTGGAGAATATACATTGTTATAATTATATTGCTGATTTTCTGTTCTATATCTGCTGTCCACTTCTTTTACCTGTAACTAATTTGGTTTCGGAACATTTTAGGCTCTCTCTAATTGTGTATATTTTTTAGACTTACCTTTAGTTGTGGCAACATGGTAATCTAAAGTTACAAACACTTCCAAAACCTTTTGATGGGAGTAATTAGCCAAGAGAAGTTTCAAAAAATCCATCCAAAACCTTTTGATTATTATTACTTTTTCATCTAATTGTTATTAATCTATGGTCTAAGTTTTTCTTGCACGAATTTTCCACTAAACACAAGTTCCTTTGTTATTGGTTTTTATTTCAGCCATTTCCATTCTGTTTATGAGCTTATAATCATACACGGACTCTGCAATTTTTTAGTTCGGGATATTGCCCCGGTTTGGAATGTAATTCTTCCTGTATTTTGTTGGTGCTCCTTTGTTTAAGAACTCTCTATTGACTTCTTTTTGTCTTTTGTGACTTCAGAGGTTAAGAAAATTTTTCTACATTTTGCTCTCATACAAAAAAATGAGATATTCCACACACTTGCATTTTTAGTAGGAGTTATTGCTTGGTCACAGGTGCATATACATCTCTTCTTATTTGCTTATAAGGATATCAATCTTTCTCATTTACAGAGGTTAGTTACAGATTCTAGATTAGATGGTTTGTCTTTATGTCTCGTGAACTTGTTTTGCCTAGAGAATAATGAATCAACTTCAAAATAGTATTACGTCATCTTGTAATTTTTGTAAGAATATTTGCTTAAAAAATCTTCAATTCATACCAATTTTCGAAGGATGGAATATTTCACGAGCATTCATTTGGTTAAAAAATAAGTTCATTAGAACTTTTCTTGTCCTATAGAGATGTAATATAAAGTTTGCTAATGTTCATTATTCAGTTTTTAAAGTAACCCATTCCGTTTCCCTCTAAGAGTAGCTCTCATCCGGCCTCTTAAAATCTATCAAAAAAATCAGCAGAAATTCATCATAAATCATCACATTTATGAAATCTGGAGTAAGATTCATCGAAATATTTTTCTGCTCAATAGTTTACAATAATCTTGTAACAACAAGCATAATTTGTAGCACTATATTAATCCTGCGTCTATTTTGAAACGTTGTTTGATTTCTTGTACACAAGAGCATGTTCACACTTATAAATATATACTTTTCGTAGTTGTATTGTTTACGTTTTGGACAGAAACTTGTACCAAATTAAGCTGTTTTGCAGAATTCTTACAAATTCACCAAAGTACATATAGATTATACCAATAGAAACGTGAAGTAGAAGGAATTCATGTGCGCATGTGAAACATATTCCTCCCCTTAATCTCTTCCAGCTGAAAAAAAAAAGTCATATTTTTCTATTCATGAATCAATATTATCAACTTTGTGGATCAATTTCTACCATTATGTTAGTCTCTTGAAAATCCCTTCTATATTAAAAGAGTGAATCCGCCGAGTACTGTTTTATTTGGAAGCATTTCGTTAGCCCAAATTGCCCCCACCATGCCGAGTACTGTTCATTCTGAAGCATTATCGTTAGCCCAAATTGCCCCATATCCATCATCTACTATTTACACAAATTGTCCCCTATCTGTCTTCCACTATTCACACGTGGGTCAAGGACAATTTGGAAAGATCATTTTTAATTAATTTATATGCCTACCATTGTTGACTTTGAATGTCGGGAAAAAAAATTGTTTGCTCCACATTGTGCGGAGTTGATGCTCCGCAGAGTGCCGAGCAATACATTTTCCATTCCCATTTTACTCCTACCAATTAATTTTTTTCCTATTTTATTCCCCATTATTAACTGTTCATTTGT